TGAACAAAATATGGTGATGTCAATGAATCAATTCTCAACATTTTACATTTCAGTACAAGTTTCAGGTTAAAACTTCCAAGAAAATAAAAGTGGTGGGTTTTTTTTTGTTTGTTTTGTTGGTTTTTTTTTTGTTTTTTTTTTTTTTTTTTGTTTTTTTGTTTCATTTTGACTTTTTTTCAATTGGACTAAACATTGCCCTTGCTCCTCCTTTCTGACAAAGGAAGGAAAAGAAAACCACTTCCAAGTAAAGGACTGCTTTTCCTTTTCCTCAAGCTGTTATATTTCATGGCTTTTCAGTCTATTTTCTTTGTTGCCTGGCTTTGCACTCACCAGCAAAATTAGTACTTACTCATCACAGTACATAATAGGACTAAGAGAAAAGCACTGCAGGATTTGGTCCCACTACTACTGTGTTCCATTAATTTTACAATGAAGTCTTGGCTACCAACATAAAATCCTAAATTCTGAAAACACTTCTGGCTTTGTATTTCTGACATTTAGTTGAATAGAGTTACCAGGTACATGTTACCTTAAAATTGATTTTTAATGACAATATTTTATAATTAACAATAAAAAACCACACTCTGTACCCAACTTCTTTTGTAGACTATTTTAAATAAAGGGATTATAAAATACAAAAGAGAGAGAGACAGGTAACCTGAGATGCAATTTTGGAATGCAAACTTTTAGTTCAAATGTGCAAGCTCAAACTTAACAAATGTTTAAAATATTTGAGTTTGTCAAATGGTGCCAAAATAAACCATGTCTTTTCTAAAGACTACATATTTAGCTAGGCACTGGCAATGTAAATCTTTCAACCATTTCAAGTATTTGTTTAAAAGCCTCCCAGAACACGTGGGCTCCCAACAAAACTGAAGAATGAAATGTTTAGAACACTGGAGCTCAACAGCTGACTTATAATCGACCTAATATGAGAACACTACTTTGTCTTTTTGAACTTGTGAATACATTTTATTTACCAATGCATGAGAAGAACAAACAGAGAAAGTCCAGTTGTGCAGACCTGATGGGAAATGTTACAGCGATAAGAGTCAGCCCATGGAAGGGAAACTGCCCAGCACTGATTTCATGTGCCTTGCATCTGATTCTTGCATGGGAGCAAAATCTTCAGCAGCAGAAGTTAAGAAGAAGAAAACTCAACAAAACCAACAGCCTAATTCTAATTGAAAGAAATAAAGGCACAGAGAAATCCTGACGTTTAGATGGTAAGTTCATTTGTGTACATGGATTAAAGATGTTATAACATCTGGTAAGACTATATATAAAGTCAGTTTTGTAAAATGTTCCTGATTTGGAATAAACAAATAAATAAACATGCATATGACAACATACTGACATCACCAAACCATTTCAATATGATAGCTTATTTATAAAAACAGCTTTAATATTCCTTAACATTAATGATTAACTAGTCAATTTTACTTTGCCATTAATGTATTTAAAGAGGAACAAAACAGAATTCAGCTATAGGACTCCACTAACAAGACTGAGCTGTCTTTAAACTTTTCAATATCAGCAGTTTTCTCAACACAAGTACAGAAAGCCATGCCACCAGTTTTCAGCTGCGGGCTGCATGAAAAATAGTACTAAAAGACTAAAGGTCCACAGTTCTTTTCTGTTAAAGTTGATTTGTCACAATATTGTTAATTAGTGAGGGCTTAGGGAAGGCTTACTAGGAATATAATTACAGTGCTGAAAAGCATTAATAATGCTCTTATCCCGAGCCAACATGATGCTATTTACATATTTTACCCTGGCATATACCAGAAATGGCTCCCAACACATAACGTACTGCAGGATCATCAAGAGAAAGACACAAAATCTCACAGGGGAAGAATATTTCTGAATATCTCTGTTCTATTCAAGACAGCAGGGACCCTAATTTGACCAGTAATTACAGCTGTCACCATAAGATGCACCTATGGTGAGCCATCTTTTATCATGAACTGTTTTTCCATCAGGAGGGAAATGAATTGCTACTCCTGGTACATAATTGGATGCAATCTCATCTTTCTCACATATATTAGGATAGAAGTGACAATTGCATTTGTCTGTTGTATGGGAGCAGGCTTCTTTTCACTTTCAGAGCTCTGCACAGGCATCAATCAGTTCTCAATGAATAATCCATATGATAAGCCCATTAACCCATGTTGTCGTTATCGCCTCTTTCTACTGACCAGAGCAGATTTCCTGCCCTCATTACACTGAGAGGCTAAAGTTAGGCTGGGCTCAACAGGACCAGAAGTTCTGCTGAGGGCACTAAAGGCTGGGCCTCTGCTACCAGACCTATGTGATTTATGCTGCTCACTTCAGCAGGTGAAGAAGTGAAAGTGTTTTGACATTAACCACATAGATACTTTTGCAAACACCCTGGAGGAGCCCAGGAACCTCTTCAGAGACTGCATACCTTTAATGACAGTCACTAAGGAATTTGCCAAAGACCACACACCAGGTTGTTAGCAAGAAAGAGGGAGAACTCAACTAGTTTTGAATCTTTCTACTCTCAACATAGCAAATTTCCCATGGTCCTTTCCAAAGAATAAAAATATTTCCAGCGGAATTTTAAAAATCAACACATCTAATTTAATTACAAATAAAAGACATTTATCCACATTTGCAATTTATGACAAAACACCCTAACCTAAATTATCACTGAATTCCAGCAAGACAAAAGACAGAGTCAGGAACTATTTTTTCAGCTTGGGTATAATGTGTCGAAAGGAAAATTATGGAGCATAACAATAACTTAATTTTACTGAATCAAGTATTACCTGCAATCAGATGTATCTGACAACAAGCCTGCTAGATGGCTTTTGCATGGCTCATCTTACTTTCCCAAACAAAGCCAATGGACACAAGAGGCTGGAGGTCATACAGTCTGGCCGTAGGAAGCCTGCATTCACAAGATTATTCACTTGGACACAGAAATACTTGGGGAAAGGTGAGGAGCTTTTGACACTCCAAGGGGAAGGAGGAACTCAGCACATTCATGCATGGAACACAAGCCCTGATTTAGTAAACTTGCATTTTCAAAGTAGCAAACAACTTCCTCATAAAAGCTGCCAAGCAGTAACTAATACTTTTACACTGAAAAATAAGTACTTCAAAGTGAAATAAAAGCAATGTTTAAGAAAAAATGTTTCATTCTCACAGTGAAGGAAAAGCTACCTTATTGCCTCACAGGGATCTTTGTCCCAGAGGCCATGTTTAAGTTAACTAAGAAATCACCTCTAAGAGGGAGCTAATTTGGAGATGGCAGTATTTCATATCACCATATTCAGCTTGGAGATGCTGCTGATACTTTGCCACTGTGAGTATTAAAGAGGAGCTGTGAGAAGAGATGGAATAAGAGCTTATGGTCAGTAGGGAATGCTAAAACAACGGGTGACATTCAGTACCCATAAATCCTGGGTTATTCAGAAAACAGTTCTGTCTTCATACAGGCTACAATGAACTCTGAACATTACAACTGAGGAAGGAGATCTAGAGTTGTCATTTTGCTACAGAAATATTAATACCAATAAATAATCTGTCATAAAGCAATCCACTGCTAAAAATAGTTACAAACAGCACAGAGATAAAACAGACAACATCATTGTGACAACCATTAAAGTCACATATTGTCTATATCTTGAACACTAGCCACAAAACATGTTGCATCTCGGTAAAAACACTGCAGAGCTGGAAAAAAACAGATTAGTATGACAAGGCCAATTAAAAACATGGGACAGATCCTTTAAATGAGACTAGGGATTCTCTCTGGAAAAGAGAGAATGGGGGAAATTATGCCAAATATGTAAAATCACATGGGACATGGAAATATGAACAGGGAATGGTTCCTCACGATTTCTCACGTACAAAAACTAGGTGATAGCAAATGAACAGAGCTGGTTCATAAGAGAAAAGGAAGTATTTTTTCACTCAATGCATCATTAACTGCATAAGACCTTGTGAAAGGAACAAGTAGATACAAACAATTTTAATGGATTAATAAACAGGTCATGAAAAAATGCTGCTAAATACAAAGACACCATCTCTGGCTTAGAAAGCCTTTAACTAACAAACTGCTGGGACACCAGCTGGGAGAGTGGCCACTAGAGCTGGCCTGACTTTTTACCCTTTCCTAGGCACCTTCTATTTGTTATTGCCAAAGGCAGTCCTTGGGCTTTGGTCTAGCACGGCATGGTAGTCCTTACATTTTTGTCTTTATTTCTTCCTCACTACCTCCTTACAGCAGAAGTGGTTCAATAGCACTGACTGCTCAGGAGATCTTGTCATCCACTTTGTGCGCAAAGCTCAGTGAGGACAGTAGGACAAAAAGCTGTTGAGTCACCCAAAGAGCTGAACAGCAGCACACAGGAGATGGTGAAGGGGCTGGAATCTGGGGGGTGGCAATCCTCTGGTTTGCAAGAATTAAAATTTCTTCCCACTGAACAGGCGTGGGGGAGAGGCTCCAGACTCACTGGCTATCTTAGGATTGACCAAAGGTCAAAAAGGAGCACTTCAGAAGTTTCTAGAAGTGACTTGGGTAAACGTGGCTTGGAGGGATGCTACTTATCTCCCTGCAAGAGGTTAGGTTTGGTCAACTGAAACTAGGAGGGGCTTAGGTCTGCAGTTGAAGAAGGTTTAACATTTAAGTGTTTGAAAGAAAAAAACAGACATTAAAATGTTTCTCTCCACACCTACACCTAAAATTAAAATTTCATTTTCTCCAGATAGACTGCACCATCACAATGTCTGAACAAGCAAGCATTAAGAAGTAAAACCATGTCACAACATTAAACACAAAGCAAAGCAGACAAGTGTAAGCCTCAGGAGCTACATCCACCTTGCCTGAGTTGGCTGCTCCTGAGGAGATACTAAAGCCCAGCTGGCTGCTGAGATTCTTTATTGCATTTGGGGTTCTCAGAGATTACAGCTGCTTTCTTGAGCAGGATTATATGAGTACTGGCCTGACTGTTCACAACAGGAGATGGTTGGGTCACAAGCAAAACTCTAAGTTCAACTCTAATGTATCTTACAGTCTAAAATGTTTATGTACCCCAAATTTTCCTCCTCAGCCCTCAGTTTCTCCCCTCCCTGTAAGATTCTATGCTTCAGCCTTTTAGTCCTAGGACACTTCATGAGTACAAAAAGCTGAGGATTGACAGTGTAGCCTCAAACCCAACCTGGATGATACTCCTGCACTGCAGGGCAATCAGAGTCTTGTAGGAACGGGATGAGAAGAGGCAAACATTGAAAAGGTGACTTTTTAATTTATAAGGTGTTTTCTGAAATCTGAGAGCTTTTCCCTCATTTAAAAGGACAGAGGAGTGACTAAAAACGATACACTGTCTGAGATACTGTACAATGTCACAAGGCTTTTGTGTTGCAATTTTTAAAGCTGTACTTCCATTGAAACATAAATGTAAATTTCTTTTTAATGTACACTGAAAATGCCATGTACTAGCAGAAGCTATTCAACTGTTGTATAAAGGTATACATTTATCCTGCCCTTTGATGTAGCCACAGTTACTACCTGCAATTCAATGGGCTATGAGTAAGGAGGAAAAAATATCCACTATACCAGCCAGAGATATTTCTTGAATGTCAACCTACTTTATCAATTAATATATTTAACATACAAATACTGGACTACTTGCAGCCTCAAAAATAAAATAAGGGATTTAAATTTTGAAACTGCTTTGCAGCATTTTGAACCTGAAGCCTGCAGTATTTAAAAATTCTATGCCTTGCAGCAGACTATAGTCTAACATGGAGAGGACAGAGTGTTAAAATAAGCATCTACATAATTTTTCACAATACAGTGTGCCTCAATGCATTTGGTTAAAAACAAACACATGTTTGCAGTGAAACATTTTAACAAATCACAGAACTCAGCAGCAAAGTAGTTAAACATTTATGATTTGATTTTATCTCAGCTTGGAATGTCGCTGGAGTGTCCCACTTCTAACAACTGTTTGCTAAGTTAAGGCTTCAGTGTTTACACAGTGCTGAATGAAGCAGCCTGGTCACCAGATGTGAAAGCTTCCTTAGACTGCAGCTTTCAATCAGATCACGGTCCTAATGGTCCCTGCTCCAACCTTCTTCCTCAGGACGTCCACCAGCCTTTCCAACCTGAGAGGGGGCAGGGGAGAGGGAGAGGAGAGAAAAAAAAAGGAAGCTAATGTTAGGAATGTTCTGGCTGAAAGAGACAGTGTTTGCACTGAACCAAGCTGTCCTGGTGGTGGTCACGCTCAGAAACAAAGCACTACTGTAAAAGACAGACATTAAGGGAAAATGCAGACAACTTGTGAAAAACTTTTTAACCTACAACCCAACCCATCTGCAGCCAGTGATATATATCAACTCACTTTTCCTTTGTAGTGCATGGAGTATCTGAGGTCCCTGTATGGCATTTATACAAAACCCTGTGCAGCAATCCTGTGGTACAATATACACTTTGGTGTAAGCAGGACAATTAATTTTTATACTTTAAAAAATATGAGCTGTCCATGCTCTTGTTAAATGTAGCACTTAACTATTGTTTCCCCTTAAATACTATCTTGCCTATTATCCAACAGATACTTTTACTGTTCAGTTTATAAATTTATGCCTAAAAGCTGATGCGTTTTATGTAAAAACTTTCTCAAAATACTCAACAAGCCGAGTTTCTAAGGATGTGGATGATGATATTTTTAAGGTGGCCTGCGTGATTCTTGTGTCAATACAACTACAGAAAAATTAACAGTCTAAGTAAGTAGGACAGAGAGCTGCCCAATCCTCTTAGATTTAAGGCGCAGGCACTATAAACATGTTCAATCTCACTGGCTTAATTTGATCTTTCTTTTGTTAAAGTATGTAGACAAAGGCAAAGGACTAAATTTGTTCATCATTTTGTATCTACACACATTTATCTTCAGCATTCCAGAAATCATGTAGTCAAACTATTTTTTCAATCTGTCTGTATTTTATGGTATCCTTCAATGAAAACTCTCCCACAAATAAACTATCTGTATAAAAGCAGACCGTGTGTAGCAGTGCACTTTCAGAGCCATGTCCAGAATATTATACACACAGCTTCCATAATGGATAAACAGAGCTGTAGGTTCAAATGGCTGTATTCATTGTTACAAAGTTGACCATTTTTTTCTTATCTTGAAAGACAATTAAAAAAAATATTATACAACATGAGAAATGCAGATAGGAAATAAAAATAACACAGCTTTATCAAAATTGCAAAATGCATTTTATCTCATGAATGCATTAGTAACTTCAGTGCACGTAAACTAGTCAACATGGATTAATTGCCACAGGTCATGACTAATGTGCTTGGTACGTATTGAAACACACTTGTTTTCCAGGAACCACCAAGCACGATGAAGCTACACCTTTCATTGTACTCACCAGGTGACTTAATTCCTGAAATGAGATTAAGAATTCACCACCCAAATGTAATCATCAGACAGCAGGAAAAGTATGTGGAAAGTTCAGCTCATTCTAGCTCTTACACAGGGACTCTGAGGGAATGAATGCACAGGTAAAAAGCTGCTGCTTAGGTAGCAACTGCTAAAAAACTGCTCCTCTCCCTTCAGTTTTCCAGTAGTCACTTCTCCTTCGTAACCAACTAGTGCATTTTTCCCTGGTTTTGTAAAATAACATCTACTGCACTTTGTCTTCATAGAGGCAGCACCCAAACAGCCATATCTCAGTGCTGTCAGTCCATGCAGGTATAAAATCGGGATTTCACAAGTTATTTGCTCCTGTAAGTTTTCTCACATGGATACCTCAATGTTTTCTGGATTTTAACTCAGTTACTGATCAGTCAGTTTTGTCAGCCTCTCTTATTGAGAGGTTTCCCAGTTACATCTGCTGTCAGTCCATGTGCAATTTCAGAGAGCAGTGGCAATTTGTTCTCTTTCACTAGCATGTGCATTCAGAAGCACAGCAGCTTTCTCAGCCATTTTAACTCTTGCTGGAGGTCCCTTTCACACTAGCACCCTCTCTAATGTACTTCAGACACATAAAAGCACTGGAGAAACATTTCAAACTGTTTGGACAAACAGAAGGCTTGGGCTGAAAATTGTTTTTCTGGGAGACAGCATAAAACCTGTAAAATCTGAGATCATGGCTTATTTAAATCACTGTTCAGTTAAAAAGAAATATTGTGTGGCTTATACAAGGCAGGGGGTGGTGGGGGGGAATGACTTCAGTAATTGAGGCTCCTTTTGGGGAAAAACAAGTTGGATGTCATAGCTAACACACTGTCCTACAACTGGGTTTGGATGTGCACCACTCTGTGACCAAGCACTGGCACTGCACACCAGAGCAGAACAAGTCAGTGAAGAGCTGCCCATGTTTGAAGAGAAATACCACTGGGATGAAAGTAGCTGTCTTCTGTTTAACCTTGAAACTGTCAGGCTTCATTGAAAATAATGAGGCTTAACAATCATAGTTTCTGCTTTTCAAACGAATGATGACTGAAATCATCAAAATGAGGTATTCCTCCCCAAATACACATCATGCAGAGCTTATTTGCCTTTTGTTTCAGTCATATGTGAATTTTCAAATTTATTTATTCTTTATCAGGAGGAAAAAAAAGGTAGCAGTGAATTATGATATTGTACTTCAAAAGAGATTTAAGTAAAAACGTAAAAGAGAAATGGTAGTAGCTATTTATAAGATAAAATAAGAGAGGGCAAAATTTTCCCCTACACAGACACAAGACCCAATATACCACTGAAATCCCACTTAAGCCTACAAAATAATGCTATGTGCTGAATCAGTGGTTAATAACTCTTGATACAGGCCTCAGGGGGCTTTTTGGAATGATAATCCTGGACTCTTTGTTCACCAAAGGCCCAACTCTGTCATCCCAACTCACACTAAGCAACATTTTCTTTGTGAGTAATAAAAGTCAGCTAAAAAGGCTGTTTGTGCCAATGAGGTGCTACCTGTGAGGAGTGAGGGTGGCAGAGCCAGCCCTTGTTGATAAGGCTTTGTGCCCAGCCCAGCGGGACACTGCAGGCAGCTCCCTCTGGAGACTGAGCATTTTTACGTGGAAAACTGCAGTAATAGTTTTATACCTCAAGATCAAAGGTAATTTAACCAGAAGAATGGGAACTAGTCTCAGTGTTTGCAGGGTTTTATTCAAAATATGGAAGACATGAAAAAAACAACTTCTGTTACTTTGTGTAATTTCACCAAATTTGACTTAATTGAAAGCAGCACATTTTATTGCATTCTAAGACAAATTCTAACCAATTCCAACATTCTAATGAGATTTGCCTTTTTGCTTGTGAAGAGTCCTCATAGTATAAGCTAAATGTGCAACATTACACTTTCTCCTGACATGTAAGCAAGGACACTCACTGAATTTGCATCTCATGAAGCAACTAAATAAGTAATTTAAGAAGAAAGCATTTGAGTTCATATTTTAGATCAGACAGAAGAATGATAAGGTGGACAGGCCATTCTGTGGTAGTGCTGAAGGTCCAAATGTGCAAGGACAGACACAAACCTTTTGGAATGCTTTACAAACCCTCTTAAGGGCTCACTCCCCATTCTCACAAATTGTAATTTCTTCCTTAGAAATTTTTGAAAACCGCAGGAGATGACCTTCATTATTCCTTGGTTCTTCAAATACTTCTAGAAAATCTGTCCCTTAACAAATAAATTCTCTCAACAAATGCCCCATCAGCATTCTTTATACAATTATTTTATGTATGCATGCAAAGTGAGTACAAAAGGACATATAAAATACAGGAAAAATCTATGGATTCAAACAGATAGGCTCAACTTTGGTTTAATTCCTATTGATTTACATATATCCAAAAGTAAAAAGTAGAAATGTCCAATGCTTTTCAAGATAGATGGAATTTGCATTGATGAAAAGCACAAAGATGATGCTAGAAACATTCTTTATCTACACTACATACTTCTGTAATGCTCCCAGGAAATGGAAAAAATAAATAAAACACACAATTTAGGAAAGGGACATCGAATCCATCATTATTTTTAAGTTAGCAAAAGACACAATGTTAAGAGTCTTGAATTGCAGTGGCTTAATGCTTTCTCCAAACAAATTTGGAATTAAGAAGTTGAATCTGTGTTCTATACAGAAATAAAAAGAATTCCATAAGGGGCTTGCTGCTATGATGTTACAGGTTTAATGATGTCCTTTTGAACATGTTGCTAAACTTTAAGAAGATCCTCATCTTTAGAGGAAAGAACAGGAACACTTGAAAAGGATCATTACTAGGTGAGTCTTCCCCAAGACAAATTCTCAACCATTCTCAAACTTTCTTCCAGGTATTTCAAACTGTGTTCCCTTGTCACCTGTGCACACAGCTGTCAATGCTCGGATGGAGAGTATGTTGTTGTGTGGAGCGTTCTTACACAGATCCTGAATTGCTTGACAATCAGCTCTGACTTTTAGCAAAGCTTTACTCCTGTGAGTAAAAATGATTTTGGTTTTAGACTTGGTCTCCATAAAGGAGACTTAAAATCCTGACTGACAGAGAAGTTTGCTCTGGGAGCTCAGAAGCTGAACAGACTGGTGCAAGAATGTTCCCCACTACTCTCTACTGCCCACTCCTGTGCACATTTTTGGCCTGCTTCCCTCTTTCACACATTCTGCTGAAGAAGTCTAGCTCTAACCTGCGGCTTGGGATCAGGAAAAACTCTGCAACTGCATAAATCCACACGGGTTGGTACATCCTTCCACACTGCTCCACCTTTGGCCAAAGGAACTCACCTCAAAGACAACAGTGGCCTTTACTCCCAAGTTCTGAATATGACAGCTGTACAGTCATGGAGTGACCTTCCTGCCCCAGGAAGGGATAAAATGGACATCCAACTGACAGAAAAGGGCACCCTTCAAGTAGCCCATGTCCTAATCTGCAAAGCAATATACAGACTAGCCAAAAACAATGGTTTCTACCTGCAAATGGAGGAGTTAAGTGATAAAAACAAAATCATCCTGGATTTTGAAATGCTGTATAAAGGCTTATAAACCTAAGCTATTGCCCTTGGTTATCTTTCCAGTAGATAAGATTAGGCTCAGGCTATGAAGATGGCCTTACTTGCATGATTTCTGGCTTCTTGTGGAATGTGTTTTGCTGACACTAATTCCCTTT